CTTATTTGGAAATGAAGTCTTTGCAGATGTAATTAGCTAAGATAGATGAGGACATACTGGAACAGGATAGGCCCCCAAATTAGCTGCGTATGGTGGCGCACACCTGTAATCCCAGCACTCGGGAGGCTGAGGCAGAGGATCGTTGTGAGTTTGAGACTAACCTGGGCTACAAAGTGAGTTCAAAGCCAGCCTGAACTGTATAGTGAGCTCTTGTCTCAAAAAGACAAAACAAAACAAAACAAAATAAAAAAGGGTGGGCCCCAAATCTAGTCTTGCTAGTGTCATTGTAGGAAGAGGAGAGTACAGACACAGACCCAGGTGATGGCCACAGGAAAGCACAGACAGGAAGGAACACCATCCTAACAAAGATAGAGGCAGAGCCCAGAGCGATGTGTCTACAAAGCAAGGTTGCCAAGCATTGCCAGCCACCACCAGAAGCTGGAAGAGGCTAGGACATATTCTCCCGTACAGCCTTCGGAGAAAGCCTGGCCCTGCTGACAGCTTGATTTCAGACTTCCAGCCTGCAGAGCTGTGAGATCACACTCACCTGTTGTTTAAGCCACGAAGATTGTGATATTTAGAAATGAATATACTGCCTTTCTATGGCACAGAAAGAGTGGCAGCGTGGATCCCAGGTGCAGTCCTGCTAAAACAGACTCGCAAGGTAAATTCAAGGCAGAGAAGAATGGAAAGAGTATCTATTTACGCTGCAGGGGCTCTATGTACCTCACATATAGGATCATGATTGTTCTCCCAGTTAAGTGTAAGATTTCCATTTTACAGATAAGGAAACTGAGGTACAGAAAAGAGAAGCTATTTTCTTCTTTTTTTTTTTGTTTTGTTTTGTTTTGTTTTTTTGAGGCAGGGTCTTGTGATGCAGTTCAGGCTGGCCTTGAGCTCACTTTGTAGCCCAGGTTTGTCTTGAACTTGCAGTGATCCTCCTGCCTCAGCCTCCGGAGTGCTGGGATTATAGGCATGCACCACCACGCCCAGCTGCTATTTTCTTTTAAACTCATTTTTTTCCCTTCCCATAGGTATTACACAAGGAGCAAACCACACCCCAGTTTTAGTCTCAGGAGGCAGGTTACTTACTTCCCTTCTCTGAGCCTCATTTCCCTCAACCAGAAAATGGGAATAGTAGTATCTGTTAGGTGGTTGTGAGAATGAAATTAGTTCATTTTCTCATTCAACATGTTTTATGGAAGTCTTCTCTGTGCTGGCCCTTCTGCTTGGCCCTGGAGACACAGCAGGGACAGACCTCCCACAAGGTGGGCACTTTGGAAGTGCTTACTAGAACTCTTGGTAGAATCCAGAGGGACAAGAATGTAGGACTGAACAGGGTGGTGTATGGAGCCGACTCAGTTTGTAAGAAGGCTCACCTTGGCACTAATTCTTTTCTCCCTGTTGGTGCTGGTACATTCCAAGGAAGACAAATTCCTTGAGGGCCTGGGGCCTGTGCTCCTGGGCACCTGGCAGTGGCTGCTCCTAGCAGCCTCTCCAAAGCCAGCAGAACTATGTGACCCAAGCAGGCTGTGGTGGCAGCTGAAGGGGACTTGGTTTTCTCCTAGGGGCCCCTGGTGGGACTGTCCCCTCAGCTTTGCCTTCCCAGCTCAGCCCCACCCACTTCCTGACAATGTCCCTGCCTGGGCCAGGCTTGAGCCTGCCCTGGAGATGCTCCCAGCTGTCCTGATATCCCCTCTGGCTTCTGCAGACATTCCCTTTTCTGCCCCTGAAGGTGTCCTCTGGGCAGAAGCCATTCCTTCCCTTCCAGAGGTGTCCCCAGACACCACCCCCATGCCATTCTTTTTCCTTGACAACTGTGGCACCCAGTATCAAATGGGCTGTGCTCAGTGCAGGCAGGGTCAGATTCCTGGTAACTAAGTGGCTTAGGGGAGGGTCCTATAAAGCTCCCCAGGGGAGCTAGGAATGGTCAGGTTGGATGGGTCTGGTTGGGCCCTAGCAAACCTCTTCCTCCCAAACCTCTGCTTCTCTGAGCTAAGAGTGAGAAGCTACCTTCTCTGCTTCCATGGGGTGGAGTGAGGAATGAGGACCAGGGACACCAGTAAAGCCTGCACACACGGCAGCAATCAATCCTAAAACCCCACTGTCTACCAGGTGGGCTCTGGAAGTGGGACAGTGTGGGTGCAGAGCAGCTATGCCTGGCAGATCTCCTGTCCTCACTTGCCCCTGGTGAGCTAGGAGAGCTGGCACCAAGCACTGGGGACACGGGCTCTGGCGGGCCCAGACAGCTCAGCAGTGGCGGCAGTGGCGGCATCAGTGGCAGCAGGGGCTATTCTGAGAGCTGGGAGAGGCCAGGCGCTGAGCCCTAGAAGGGAAAGCAGTAGGGAGGAGACAGTCCCTGGAGGGGGGGTCCCTGTGGTCTGGGTGCTGTGTGCACTGGGAGAGGTGTGTGATTATCATTGGGCGGTGGGCCACTTGAGGTTCCGAGGATTCTGCTGGGATTGTTTGGGCGTATGTGTAGCAGTGTTGTGATCTTAGGCAAGTGAGTGAAACACAAAAAGCTAGTGTGCGAGTGAGCAAGCGCTGGAAGGGATGGAAGTAAGCGCACCTGAGTGTGGAAGGAGCAGGAATGAAAGTGTCAACAGGGAGGCCTGTTGGTGAGCAGGAATGAATGTGGGAGTGAGTGACAGCGAGGGCACGGAGCCAGGAGCTTGTGTGGGGGAGGGGAGGAGGGCACTCATAGGAAAACCAGGGGAAGATGTGGGGTTGTGCAACAGGCACGCGCACAGGGTGCATGGCAAGTGTGCTTGTGAGAGGGCAGTGCGCGTGTAGTGAGAGCAGGTGGGAGTGTGTGAGTTGGAAAAAGTAGGCGGGGAAGATACTAATAATCAACAGAAATATACAAATGAGAGTTCACAGAGCACTTATTACGAGCTCAGTGCTGACATTCAGAATCTTACGGTGTTCTTCAAATGTCCTGTGGAAGTCGTGCTGTATGACCCTGCCTGTGGAGTAGGACTTGGAGCAGCTAACTAACTTGCCCATACTGCTAATCCCTGGGTGAGTAGGGCCAAGCCGTGAGTGAAAGTGAATGTCAGTGTGAACCCGTGGGTGTGTTGCGTGTACGTGTGTGGCCTGAGTGTGCCAGACGTGAACCCCAGAGGAGAGGGTAGGCAGTAGCTGTGGACACTGGGCAGGGCAAGGGCTGAGCAGAGCCTGAGCCAGCAGCTGGGGCATCTCTGCCAACCGGGCTTCCCAGCCCTGCAGTGGCAGCCTGTGCCAGGGACCCAGCTAAGGATCCTCCCAGCCCTGGTATGGCCCCCAGCAAACTCCCATCTGATACTTAGAGCTGGGCCAAGGGGTGGAGACTGGCAGGAGGCTTGCCTGGCCTCCAGGGTCCTTACAGGGGCAGCTCCCAGTGTGGGCTCCCCAGGCAGAAAGGGCATATGAGAACTGTGCGAGGGGGTCCAGCAGTGACTTCAGCCCCTTGTGGCTCTAAACAGAACCACCTGGAGGGTGTGTGTGGGGGGGTAACAGTTCCCATGCCCACCCTTGCCTTTGGGATGTGACTCAGGCAGATGCCATGCCAGGCATCTGCAAGCAGGGCCTGCTTCCACCCTGGGGGGTGAGGAGGAGCCCCTCCAGCCTGCCCCACCCTCACTCTTGGCCCTATTCCCCAAGTCCTGAGCTAGAAGGAAGGAATTTTTGAGAAAGGAGGGCTTTCCCCCGTGGCTGGGGCACAGTACTCCCATGGTGCAGAGAAGCTGCCTCTGCAGCCCCTCAGGAGGCACTGTACTGGCAGAAGGGTTAGGAACCCAGGATTCTAGTGTTTTGGGCAAGTTACCTCCCCACTCTGGCTTCAGTTTCCTGACTGTCAAACAGGAATATTGTGCTAAAGGGACACGAAGTGTTGCTGTCAGGACAGCAAGCTGTCTGGACAAGCAGGAAATAGAAATATGTATGTGTAGGAGGTGGGGTTAGGGAAGTGTCAGGGTTAAGCTGATGCAGGAGCTGAGTCTTGTAGAATGGGAGACATTTGCATGAGGACCTGGAGGAGGGGAAAGGATGTTCTAGGCAGAAGACATGCCCTGAGTGAAGGCTGGCTGTATAGAGAGGTGTGGCGGGAAATCTAGCCTACCACTCTGTGGGATAAAGTCCTGGACTGCCCACCCTCCCAGCGGGCCTCACCTTTCTGTGGTCATGTGATGGTCTGGTCACCATCTGACTCTTCTTCTAGGCTATGCAGGAGGGACCTGGCTTGGCTCAGTCTCTGCTCTTCCCATAGTGCCCTGAACAACGTCAGGTGTATCAGAGGTGCTCAGTAAATATCAGAGAAATGAATGAGAAGCTTTTTCCCAAACACTCAACTTTAGGGTAAGCACTTGTTCCCACAGCCTCTGTAAGAACCTTCTTAGACTCTAAGACAGTGGTTTGCAGAGTGTGGCCCCTAGGGCATCACCTGGAAACTCGCTAGAAATGCAAAAGTTTGGCCCCAACCTAGATCTGCCAAATCAGAAACTCGGAAGCCAGGGCACATTGATCTGTTTTATCAAGCTGCCCAGGACAATTCTATATGTTGAATGAACTTTGAGAATCACAGCTCCTAAACTGTGCCCACAGGCACCATAAAAGCACATGAAGACCCCATTTGCAGATGGAGAAGCTAGGATTGTGGCAAAGCCTGGTCTAGAACTCAAGCGTTCTCGAATTATTCCTTTCCACAGCCCAGGCCAGGGCACAAAGAAGAGTTAGATCCTCCATCCGGTCAGGTCCCTAGAACGAAGCTTTGGAACCTCAGGGTCTAGTCTACAAACAGAGGGCGGGGCATTCCTCTGGGGGGATAGAAGGCAGGGCCAGTGCTCTGAGCCCCGCCCCGTTAGCGTTGCCCCGGGAAACCCCGGGTTGTAACAAAAACCCGCTGACGCGCTTCTGGGAGGGATACTGTCGAGTCCGTGGGCGGGACAGTCCTGCCGCGGACCAATGGGAGTCCTTGAGCCCCGCCCCCGCGGCCCCCTCCCCGGGCGCCGATCAGGGGGCGGGGTCGTGCCTGCCTCTTCTGCCCTACTCGGTAGGCGGCGCTGCGGCTCGCAGGGGCTGCGGCGGAGTCGTCCAGAGCTGGCAGCTCCACGCCCCTGCCCCAGCCCTTGGCGGGGCACCGGGCGGGCCGAGGATTCCGCGGCCG